TGGCTTGGGACTTCAAGGAGCATTCATTTCATTGCAGCCACGTTCCTGCTGGGAGAGCCTTGGGAAACCTGCCTGAGTCTTTTTCAGACTTGATTTTAGCAGGAATTTTGCCTCATTGTTAATCATGTTAAAATTAACCAAACAGAATGTGTTCAGGTAAGGGGGTTGGGGGTGGGTTTTTTTTGGAAGGCTGGCCTGCTTTTATTGCAGTGGCTCTTTGGGGCTGGCCGAAGTGGTTCGGTGTGCTCCGCGGGATGCATCCCGCCACCGCAGCCGAAAAAGGACCACAAGCCGAGAGCCCTGGCTCCAGCAAGCGACCCTAAGAAACACTCTCAGCAACTGGGACCCGCACCGTTCAGCATCAGTGCCACACACTGTAATTCGAAGGATAAAAGTTGAGAACATAAAATCCAGAAAGCTAAACAGGAAGCTCACCCACTTTGGGTGGTTTCTCTCTGGTTTTGAACATTTTTTTGGCCTGTGGCTGCAGAGGGGCAGGGGGCCGGGGGTGCGGGGGGGATGTCATCTTCCCGCTCCGCAGCTCGATTGCTGCCTGCCTACGGGAACAGGCACAAAGCTGTCGCAGGTGCCGGTGAAGTACAGGCACTGGATTTCAAATGCTACAGGCACCAGATGACAACTGCAGAAAGCACTGATGGCAGGCAAACCGTTCTCTTTCCCGAAACTTGGCCCATAAAGAGCAACAAGGAAAGCTGCAAGGAGAACAAGCAAGGCAGTTATAATTCCAGCTGGTACACCTACAAACGGTGTTTTCTCCTTTTCCAGCTCTTCCTTTTGGATCCTTGCACTGGCTTCGTCCTTCTGGCTGAGCTTTGTTTTCTTTGAAACTTTTGTTGGTGCAGCTTTCCAGCTGCTTTCACGGTTGATGATTTTCTTAAATAGTCATAAGATGCAAATCGGCTACAAGGTTTCAGCTAAGTGGAGTGATCAGAAGGGGCTGGGGAGAGATTTGTCAGGTCCCTGCCCCGGAACACAGAGCGTAGCCACGGCCCGCGTCACCTTCATGGGTGGACACTTAAAGCCACGCTATTCCTGGGGATGCTTTGCCCTCCTGTGCATGGGGCAGGGCCCCACGAGAGCG